TAACCAGAATAGATTTTGAAGGGTTAACTTGAATATTTGCTATAGCATAAAATGATTCAGCTATAGATAATATATGAAATAACTCAGTTTGTGAGGAAGTGACCCAAAGGGTATTATCCATATATACTAGAATGGAGCATTGTTTTTGTAATGAATGAGTTGTTTGAAGTTTTAGATTGGTAGTCCAAGTAGATTGTAAGGTATACCCAGAGACTTTTGAATATATATGTGAAATAAGTGGGTCATAGTAAATGCGTTATAATAGAGGTGTAATTGTTTCACTCTGGTCAATACTATTGTGAACTAGATAAGAGGAAGTAAGACCAAGATTGGTGATAACTTGATTGTGGCGATCAGTAAGAAGATCAATAAGAATGTTAATAGTAGATAAAGGAAGTTATATTAATTTAATTTAACAGATAAGTTTACTAATAGTTGTTAGATAAAATGCAATAATAAAAATATTATACATATATGGTCATGTTTATCACCCTATGCTATAGTCCTCAGTAGAAAGAATTTTGTTACATTAAAGTTTTTCTTTATATTAGACATTGGCATCTTCAACAGCTAACTGAAAGTAATATTTTAGAATAGTCAAATTTTTATACTCTTTATTTTAAAAAGATTTCCATTAATGCAATAGATTTGCTTGGTCCTTTAGTTGACATGATTGAAAAAGTAGAAAACAAAAATGTTGATAAAGAAGAGTTAAATGAACTTGAAGATGAAGGTAATAAATTTTAGCTTAATTGAATACAGTTAGCAGAAATAAGTCTAAACATAATTATAAATAATTTTTTAAAATTGGAATCTCATAACATGAATATTAGTTTTGACTGACTTAATAATGCTAAAAGGCACTACTCTAATGATGATCTTATCAACATTGATATATTTGTTCATCAAGCTTCTAGTAATTCTAAAACAAAGAAAGGCAAAAATACAGTTATAAATATTATTGATTATTAAACATTAAATAAAAATTAAAAAAAGGTTTTTAAACAAATAGAGGCATATTACCAAAGCATACTTTCCAGTTCTCAAGTTGAACCATTAAGAATAATTATTATAGAAATAACAGTAACAGATAAATCATATTTGATTAAGGTGATTAGAAATCTACTTTGTAGAATGGCAGGAATTGAAAGTGAACTACTGATGCTTTTGCTTATATCAACAAAAGTTGCTGCATACAATATTAATAATATAATTATATATTCAATACTTTGCATTTACTGCAAATTAGAAATAACTTTGATTTAAATGATGAGCAGTTAAAGTAATTACAAACAAGGTTACAAAATGTAAAATACTTAGTTTTTAATAAAAAAAGTATAATCAGGTATCAGATCTTAAATTTAATTAATATTTGATTGTAACAAGCTTTTTCTAAATATAAAAATGAACTCTTTGGTAATCAATTTATTATTACTTATAGAGATTTTAATTAGCTTTTATTAGTACTTAACTTTTCTATATATGCTACTAATATTTCAAAAGACTTATTATCTAATAGTGACATTATATTATATAGTCAGTTTTATAAAGTGTATAAACTTAACATTATTCAATAACAATCTAAGATTCTAGAAAGCAACAAGTTTTTAGAAAAATTCTTTTAAAGCTATGTAATAGAAAGTTTACACTTAAAGATTAGAAAAAACTCATTACATATATTGAAGAAAAACAAGATAGAACTGAATATGATTGTTTTTCAAATACTATGTTTATATTACTAAAGTAGTCTAATGTTAATACAGTTAACCTAAATAAGCTTGAATCTTTAAAGCATTCTGTTACTAAAATTCTTACTATATATACAAGTGATTAAAAAGCTAAAAAAGCTAACTCTGATATTACAAAAGATCTCAAAACACAAATTTTATTAGCTAAAAGTGTATGAGTTATGTTAATAACAAACTTATAAACAAAAACTGGTTTAGTAAATAGGTTAATAGGAACTGTTAATAACATTTTATATAACAAAAATAGACCATCTTATCTTTCTGTAGCAGTCTTAATTGCTTTCAACAATTACAATAGTCTTGTCATTAGAACTTTAGAAGGTATAAATATTGTTCCAATAGTGTCCATTTAGCATACTAGAGAGAATAAATTTGAAATATTGTACTTATGAATACAAATTTCTATTTGCATTGTCTGGGTCATCACAGTACATAAGAGTTAAGAACTTACTGTTCTGAATACTGTAATAGATTTTGGAAATAAATAGTTTGCTGCTGATCTTTTATTCATGACAGTGTCTTGAATTTGTGTTCTTACTAATCTTCTTTTTAAATTCTTTAGTTTTGAATAGTTTTAATGAATTGAAAACTGTAAAAGATTACAAGAAAGAAAAAGTAAAGAAAAATAACTAATATCTATGATATTTGAAGAAGAAATAATTAGTTAATAATAATTGTAATAATAAAATAAAATATTATAAAAATTTAAAAATCTTTATAAATAGTATAATGATCATAAAAAAACAAAAAACCAAGATTAATTTTTTTAGTATTACATAGTTTGATATTGCTGCAAATTCTGGTATTAGTATAATAAAACCTCTATAAATGCACTCTCTATAAGTGCACACTCTTCCTAAATGCATATTTAAATTTAACCCAAATATATACATAACTTCATAATTGTGTTTGTTCTTCAAGTGCATATCATCAAAGTTTAGACCCAAGAGCATGTACTTATAAAAGTTTTACTATATATTAATATGTAATACAAACCTGTCAATATACAGATATATTTGTATTAAAATAAATGTTTAATTTAAACTAATTATTTGATAACTTTAAAATGTTTATAAATAAATCTAGTAATGAGTCCTACCCTTTATTCTAAATAATAAAATTTGAATAATTGTTTAATTATTAATACAGAAAATTAGTATTATAAGCAAATAAAATAATGAATGGTACTTAATTAATTGCTTTTAAATTTATTATAACATTACCAAGTACTTTTTGGTGTTAAAGAATTACACTAAAAGCAAGCTAGTAAACTAGTAATCCTAAAAACTTTTAAATAAAGAAAAAAAAACATTAGATAAAATCAAAACTGCTGATTACTTAAAATAAGGTTTTCACATTGTGATAAAATGTGTAACAATATTGTGGATACACAAAAAGACAAATATAGATATGTGGCATTACAAATAAAAAATGCAACAACTACGTTTGTAATATTTTTTAATATAAAAGTATCAAAAATGCAATTTTATGCATCAAAAGATGTAGAAGTATGAGTCCTACACTTCGCTTCAGACAATAACAATTTACTAATAATATGTATAGCAGATTTTTCTAAATGCATATTATTAGAACTAACTCTAAAATATATATTTAGAAAAATTGCAAAAAAAAAGAAAATAAAATCATGATATAACTATTATTATATAATAAATATAACTTTAATAGCTTAGAAATAATGAATTTGATTGGTTAGTAATCATGTAAATGCATTTATAAAGTGCGTTTTTATAAGATCATTAGTGTGCATTTACAGAATAAAAAACATATATTTATCTATAAAATTCCATTATGGGCCCAGGTTTATAATATGCATTTAAAGGATGCTACATTTAGAAAGAATGCATTTAGAAAGATCTGACTGTACTTACAACTAATAACATACTAAATTGTCACATAAAGTGATTTGACTTTTATATAATAAGTAAATTATCTTGCCCATCTATAATATAGTTATGGAATGCTGAACATTCCTGACAATAAGAAAAAATCATATACTGTAGTAAAAAAGAAAAAAGCTTAATATCTTATGATTTATACAATCGATTTTAATGATTGTCATTCGAATCGTAATAATATTTTTTACAATCTTAATATGAGATGTTAGTAAACAAAAATATCTTTCATTGTAGTGAATCTACTACGTATAAAAAAATTTATAAGTTCCGACTATAATGTTTATGCCTTTAAATTGAATTGGTATTATTCAATTGAATTGAATAAAATTGACCAATCACGAGAAAGACCCTATAGCAGTGTAATTGGGGTACTTAATTAAACAAAATTGTTTCATTGGTCGAAATTCAGATAAGATCTAAGTAGTGAAACGCAAAAAAAAAAAACCCCCCCCCC